CCTGTACTTGGCGTAGTTTTTTACACGTAAGTGTTTTTTGGGGGATTTACTCTACCTATGTTCAGTCAAAGATATTACAATGCAAGGCCTATGAATTCATGTTTTGAAGTCTGTTGAGTTTAAAATGAGCTGAAATTGAACTTCTTTTGTGTGTAGTTTAATAAAAAATATTGTTTCATTTGAAAGAACACTAACTTCTTTAACACGTCAGTAGTTGCGCCGTACACTCATGGTTCACACAAATCGTTTTTTCCTTTCATTTTTAATAGTCCTTTATAACTTTTATTCTTTCTTTTCGACTATCCGGACATCGCGCGCGACTACTGGAGAGTTAAATGACATATGACAAACATTTAACACAATAGACGATAACATTTATTTGCATTTTTAAATAGGTATATTGCCATGTACAGTACAGATACATCTTTCTACCCAATGAAATGCTTAAGTTCAGCAACAATCAACTTAAGAGGACACGAATAGATACATTTCTGATCATACTGCTTTTTGGGTTACAGATCGCTGTTTATTGCTTAATTATTTTTTACCAGATAAAGACGTTACCAGCATGCGTCTAGCCTAAACTGTGCAAGCATATTGTACAGTATACAAGATAAATTCAAGTAAAAAAAACTCGACATGCATCACCGCATGTCAAAGACTAAGAAATCGTAAAATTAGAGTTTTTGTGGTTATACTCCGAACGTAATCTTCTCGCTATAATTCTTTAACGTTACTCAAATACGCATCACATTGCAGGTACATATTCAAGAAAAACATAGTGTAAATAGTAAACAGGACTAGTTATTTTTAAGACACAAAAACTCCATTGTGAAGCCGCCTGTTTTATAATAATTACAAGTCTATAATTATTTGCAAGATAACTATATCGTAGGTAAATATATTAGTTAAGTTATGTATTTCTTTTAATCATATACATTCTATTCATTTATACTTGAAAGATGTTATGTTATACTGATAGCGCTTTCTACAAGTTTCCGAAGTCTCTCTCTTTTTCTTCACTTTTGAAACATTAATATCAACAGTCTTGCATTCTACAAGAATTTCCATAACAACAAAAATAGAATCACAGTTCTTAATAATGTTAAGTCTGTTCATATTTACGCCAGCGATACAGTTAATTTCCGAATTAAAAGAAGTTATTTGAATAGAAAAAAATTGAAAGTGCAGTGAAGGTTAGAATCTTTTTTGGAAACGGCAATTACAGCTGAATAAATAATATCTCAACATATGTACCACCGAAACAAGTAGCATTAAAGCAAAACTGTTTAATAATTTGATCCAATTCTAACGATCTCTATGCACACTATATGACCATTACATTACATCTGAGTTGCGTTTACTATGAACACGTCACAACATTAAAATATATGTAGCCTGTGTATACATTAACATGTAATAAATACATATTTTTGACGTATCCCGTGAGAAGGGCTATATTTCAAAATTCATTGTCAGCGTTAAAAACATCATTGCATTTCCGCTTACTTAATCGTATGTAATAGAGACATAACGTTGCTTTTAGCGGTGTTAGTCGATATCAGAATGTATCCAAGATGTTCGAATTATTGGTATAGTTCAAAAAGTGGTTGTAACGCCAATTAGATAAAATGTTAAACGTACCTAAAGGGCTCTTGGCGATACTCAGCACGGAAATTACAGTACAACTTTTACTGAGTAGTCGATAGGGAGAATCTTAGTTCAATAAATAACTCTCTAAGAGTCCTCTGACCTTGAAAACTTAATATCTAATCATTCACGTTTATCAGTGAGCCATTAGCGAAAGAAGTAATAGTACCGTCGCCGTTGACCTGTTCGCGACATGTTATTATTAGATGAGGCCAGTAACATATTTATAATAAAAAAATAAAATAAATGTTTCACAAAGGCCAAATGTGATTACATAATTTATACTAAATATTATTTAACGAAGACAATAGCTCAATGAATTCATGTCACCCTAAATTAGAACAAGCGCAGAACGTACTACCAAATATACGAACACTGCACTTGACAAACAAGTTTCTTACGATCTATGTGAGGTACGACAAACTATGCTCGATCAAAGTGATGAAGAAAAGGACAACTGCAAGTCGATATGGAAGAATACCGTGTTATCCAACGAAATAAAAACAGTTTTCTCCCCTCCTCTCGTTAACAGTTCGCTGTCGCTTTTTTAAGATATACGTTTTTAGGTTAAGCCTGAAGCTCTCTTAATAAGCAGGCGCTTGGAAATCACCAATACCCCCTCGCTGCTGTTGTTGAGCAAATGGTGGTTCTTGATAGGCGGCGTCAGTCGCATCTGGATAGCTCGTATATCCCGCTCCTCCCACAGGATCCGCTTCATAGCTCGGCGCAAATGCTGCGTCTGTTCCCTGTTTAAATCTTTGGAAGGCAAACCAAGCACAACCTGCCTACAAAAAAAATACAAGATGCAAATCTCCACGCGAAATCCACTAATAATTCTTTAGAAAATAAAATATTCTGAAGATTCTATATATTAATTCTTTAAAATTTAGCAGTTGTTATATACTCCCTTATGCTTCCGCTTATAATTTGCTAAAAGATCACATTATATCTGACTCTTCTATGTTATCGAAATCTCTTTCCATAAAATAAATATTGTATTAAAAGCGATGATGCAACGAAAATAATTGGAAAAAAACGGAAAAATATGCTCATATACTCGGTTATTTGAAACTAGGTCACATCTGTGTCTAATTGAAAAATTTTTATATAAATACATATACAAATATAATGCATATAATTTTTCTGATGAAACAATAATAACTTACCCATGTAAAGATGGAGAAAAACGAAAATGCAATAGCTGCTTGTACATTGTTTACACCATTCCTATCCTTGGGACTCTCAGATTTATTCCATGCATTAGTCAGATAACAAAATCCAACAAAGTACAAAAAAGCCCAAAATCCAGAAACACTGAAAAACAGGTACAAATATCATAATACAATATAACAGAGTGATTCATAGATTTGAATATCATTTAAGTTGAGCAATGGTGGTTGTGATTAGTCAGTGATTAAGGTCATTAACTTATGACAATAACATTTGAGTTGGATAAAATTAAAACTGTAGGGAACATTATTGTAATTAGTTAATGAGCTAGATCATTGCTCAAGTTAAGCTACACCGGAATCTGTAACTTCTTGTGAATTGCACTTTATATCAATATTACATTATCTAAATCATGAAATGCCGATGTAGAAAGTGGGTATACAGAGCATGCAAAAATGCTGTGTATGATCTACAATGAGCTTACCCAAGATCTAGAAGTACATAATGTTTTCGAGTCTTAACAGAAGACATTTGCTCGAAAAGATATTCACCAGCCAGAAATCCAATGGTGGCTAAGAAGGCTAGAACGCCAATGCCAACACCATAGTTGCATGCATTTGTATCTTTATTGTATAAGCAAATTTCCTTTCCTTCTTCAGTAATGTAGCCTTTGCTGCTTATGGATCCAAACACAATAATTGCAAAGAGCTGGAAGTAAAACCAGTGATTATTTGTATATTCCTACTGTATAAATTGTATTTTTTTTATAATTAGTAAAAGATACCATACTTACTAGATATTTTCAGATTTTAGTAATACTTCTAAGAAATTTCTAAACATAAGACATCACATGAAACATTCTATGAATATACATAAATTTCTGTTTAGATTTTGATATTTTTTGAAATTGCAACATATTAAAACTTTCATTTTATATTTTGAAAGTAAATTTTGAAAGTAAACCAAAAATCTTTGATAAGTGATAATCATTTTTATACTTCAAAATTAACAAATTAACAAGAAATTAAAATTCTATAAACACAACTAATGCTTCTATTTAATTTTATATTTCAACTTTGTTCTATCACAATTAGGTTTATGCCCCTTATTACATCCCATACAATAAATATTTAATGTTTAGTGAACTTCCCATAATAATTTTATTTTTATTGGAATTTACAATTTACTTACATCGTCATGTATAAAAATCATTATGTAACAATTTACATAATTCAGAAATATTAAACAATGATTTCAAAAAAGTGTAAGGAACAATTTCAATGCATTTGTAAAAAATGTAATGTCTGAAAATTTTACATAGTATGTAAAGGACAAACTACCCTACTTAGTATCCTATATATATGTATGTACTTTATACGATTATAACAATTATTAAAACAAGAAGTAAAATTACAGTCATTAGATCAAGAATAAACAATACTAATGGTTGGGAAACAATTTTTTTAATGAAATTTATTATCCATTTCGATAAAACCACATGTAATTATAAGATGTACTAGGTGCATGCGCGTAATAAAATGTAGGGACGCACCTTGCACTATGAGGATGGAAAAGTATCGAAAAGTTTAACGGGAGTAAGCTACTCACGAATTTATATTACATGAAGAAGTTCACTCAATCATAACCCATATTCGAATCTTGTACACCACGATGCCTCATCTTGTGAGGTGTAACGCTTCAATTTACGAAAATCAATAGAACAACCCTATCATTAGAAGGGGGGGGACTGTGTAGTTACTTTAAAATCGATGTCCGACAGCGTGAACTGTATTTGCGAGAGTTCGGTACAGTATTCTATGGTTTGTAATATTCTTAAGCAATGTATACTCATCTTTGAAGACTTACCATGCATAGCGCTCTTAAAATGACTTGTGGCCTTTGGACAAATGCAATTGGATCAAAAGGGGCTCCTGCCTTTCCACCGCCGTACGCTCCACCGCCGTCCATCTTTTCACGACTGAACTGGACTGAACTAAAAATTCAAAGCCTTCAAGAATTGCAGTGGCGCATGCGCTATAAGCGGGCCGAATAAGTTTCGGGTAAACTCGCCGAATTTAACGAACACAGACTACGTTTACACGACAGCTTCAATGGTTAATTAATACTGATCTAAAGGAATTGACCAATTCCAAATATTCCTTACAAGTAAAAATGTCTATTATTTGTCTATTCCTTTAGATCTGTAATAACTAAACCGGTTACACCCTCATGTAAACCTAGTCACATACAAAATGATATTAGAGGCTCAAACCACTTGGGGTTTAAATGAAAATCTTGTAGATATCGCACATCGTTGCATGTGTGCTAACTATATACGTGTAAACTTGCTTTTTTTACCTAATCACCTTCGTTACTAATCCTGGTGGTGGTTTTAGCTACATTTCTTTAATTCCTTTTAGAATTACGTTTATATTAGTGTGAATTATAAACGTGTTCAAATGTAGTTATTTTTAATAAATAAGAGTATATTATTGCTGTACGAGTACATGTCACACGTTATCCTCGCCCGTTCCTTGTTATCAGCGTTTATACCATGAAGACTAGAGTTTACACGTTGGTTGTTTATGTTTCAACATGGCCACGGAGAGAGATCTGAGTAATGGTATACACATAAAATACATTATATTAGGCGAAGATTTAAGTGTATGATTCGCAGCCGTACGAGATTCTTTGGAGACTAATGGGAACCTTGGCCGTATAAGGGCAGAAATGCGCACAGAAGTCATGAAACTACTCGATGTCTCGAACCGAATCAATATATCCAAGCGACCATGCCAACCTCATAATATTCTTCTCTTAAACGAACTCATACGAGAATATTTCAACTGGATTGGATATAAATATACGTGTAGTGTACTTACCACAGGTGTTATTTGCAATTCTCAAGTACATTACAACCTAATGGAATATATTCGTGTTTGCTACATATTTTATTTTTCAGAGTGTGAGCTAAGTAAGCAGCCATTCAATCATGATTTTTTTATGCAAAGTTTGGGCATTAAGGAATATGACAAATCAAATAATTTACCGTTACTTCTTCAGTTGTTGGAGACTTGTAAAGACGTGAAAAATGCATAAATAAATTTGTATGTATTTACAAACGTACCTTTTGTATACAAATACAAAATATTTTTCATTACTTTATTTCATGTTCATTGTATCCAATTCTTATTAGCTTCCTAAGTTTCTTATAATTGCTGTAACTATACATTCATTCAGTTTAATTGATAATGCTCTAATAAGAGTTTTATGTGTCATTTATCGTTCTATCAATACTAATTGCACTTTGCTCAGTGCAAATTTCATTTAACATCTTTCATGTAACATCTATTAGGTGTTTATTGTTTTGTCAATCAATATTTTTACCGATATTGGAATACTAACTGTAACTCTACGCAGACCAGTATCATATTGAAAATATTTTGTTTGATACTGAACAAAGTCAATGGAGCGATAAAAATATGTATAGGTAAATAGTAAAATGCAGGGGAATGACACGAAAATAGTTTTCCGTCTTGTTTATTTTGTAAGTATGCATGTTATTCAAATTACATCATAAACATACAATATAGTCTACATTGTGTTCAATACTTGTTGAACATGTTGCCCCATTATTATAATTTAAAGATATGATCAATTATAATAATTTCAGCAACTCCATCATCGTTCAAAATATTATATACCAGATTACTGTAATATTAAAATAAAAATGCGAATAGGACATTTTAAGTTTGCAAAAATGATTTTGCATTGAGTAGTTTAAATACGCTTTCAGAGACGTAATTTATGCTCCCAATGTAGAATAGACGTTTTGAAGCATTTCGTAAGTTTCCATATGTTACTTGCAAAATTATTAAGATGTTGCATATTATAATAATAAATAATCTATCACAAATTGAATGGCCGTGAGACATGAGCTTTAAGTGAATTCGGCAATCAAGCATAGTAGTGCAAGTATATAATAATCGACAATTTAAAATACGAGATAAATATGCCGGAAGAAGGTGATAAGGAACAACATAAGATGAAAAGACTGTTGGAAATAGAAGATTGCTCTTATATTACAGCATTTTAAAATTGAGCCTGTCGGATCAAAATTTCACTTTCATGAATTATTTCTGTAACGGTCTAATAACATCATTTGTGTTTAGTCTTCTTCTTTTTCTTCGATTGTTTGTTTTTACTCTTAGATTTCTTTGTTTTTTTTTTATGTTTCTCCTCTTCTGTACTCGAATCTGATGATTCAGAATAACTCTCAGTGTCCGAACTGCTCTCTTTTTTCATAGACTTTCTCTTTTTATGTTTCTTATGTTTTTTTTTCTTCTTTTTGTGCGATTCGTCAGAACTGTCTGAATTTGAGGATGAAGTTTCTGAACTGCTGGAGTCATCTTCAGTAGTACTCAATTTGACTCTTTTTTTGAAAGGCTTTGTATCTATTTCTTTTTCCGGATTACGCTCCTCCACCAGTTTTAATTTTTTGATGGGTAAGATTGCCATTTTACTGTCTTCAATTTCGGATTCTGATTCAGACGCGGAATAATCCGGCTCGAAGCTGGCTTCATCCAACACACTGCGTTTACGATCTGACACGAGTCGTGGATTTTTTCTTAACTTCTTCGTAATTTCCTCGGAAATGGATCGTGGAGCTGCCATTACCGTTACAAGATTCGTAGACACTTCGGAATTATCAAAAGCGATTGACTTTTTCTCTTCAAAATTTTCGATTTTACCTTTGGACGATACGCCGCTTCCACCATCTTTGTGCTGCTTCTGTTTCTTGTCCTGACTCTTTTCCTTATCCTTCTTGTGCTTTTTTTCTTTCCGCTTCTTTCGATCTTTTGATTTGCTTCTACTTCTGTGCTCTTTCTTTCGTTTTTTCTCCTCGCGAGTTTTTTTATCCTTCTTCTTATCTTCATCCTCTTCCTTATTTCTCTTGAGAGACAAAGACCTCGTTTTTGAGGATTCTTCCCTCTTATGATTAATGATCGGGGGCGTCCTACCGGTTTTTTTTTCGCGCTCGCGATCATTTCGTGAATCATTTCTACCTGATCGAAATTCTGAAACAGATTTGCCATCAGTTCGGGAATCATGCTTCTCGTTTCTCGACTCGTGGTTTAAAACTCTATGTCGAGCGTCACTTCTGTCGTTTTTATCATTTCGTTCAGTTCTCTCGCGCTTTCCTCTACCATCTAGGAAAACCTTGCGGTCTACGTTACTCACCGATGGTACCACTGCAGGTGGGTCCACACGTCTCTCCATGAGCGGTGACATTCTTCTTTCACGAATACGTGGTGGATTTTCGTTTTTCGAATCACTATGTCTTTCTAGAAATCCTTTCACGGGACTTGATTTCCGCTCCTTGTCTTCCTCTACCTTGTCGCCCAATCGTTCTTTGGCCGACAATCTTGTTGGTGAATGTGATTCCGGTACTGGTTTAAATTTCGATCGATCTAATTTCGCCTTCTTCGTTGGTTCTGTTATTTCTACATTTCTTTCATTTCGGCCCACGTTTATTGTAACATTAACGCTCTTTCTAGAATCTCTATTCAGTTCAACGTCAGTAATTTTCGGCTCAGGATTCTGATAAAGTATCTTGCGGCTTTCGCTAATCTTCTTGATCTCGATTGGCCTGATCGCGTTTATTGCTTTTTGGAAAATAGCGTTCTCTGCTCTTTTGAGCACTTCTGAGGTCACGACTTTCGTCGATTTCGAATCGTCATTCGTTATTGCTTCTATCTCCGTCGGTGATTCCGAAATACTGTCCACTTTTTCGATATTGTCATCCCTCTCCCACTTGGAGAGTTCAGGCAATGGTGCAAGGAATTCGTTTTTCTTCGGAGATTTGTCATCTAAAACTACTCGCTCGCGTTCCTCAACTTCAATATCCGAGGACAACGAATAATTAGCAGGAATGATAGCATTAAGTTCAGCATCTTCTAGTCCACTATAGAGTAATTCAAGCTTTGGTCTATTATCAGTTTTCAGTTCTGGAATTGGCTTAAAACTGGGATTAGGCGGATTCGATGCAAAATCAGGTTGCTTTAATTCAATATATTCTTTGTTGTCGACGGAGTCGCCATGAAATTCGGGTGGTTCAGGGTTCATGATCAAAGATTTGTCTTTAAACTCTTCGTTAATAGTGGATACTCTAGTAATAGTGGTAGGATCTTCATGTATCGTTTTACTACTTAAATCTTGATTAGTTCTGATATATCTGGGTTTCTCCGGGGATGGTGCGCATTCCACCTGCTGTTGTACTTTGTCGTCTATAGCCATATTCTCACTGTCGTTTAACTTTAGTGGTTCTTCCTTCACAACATCCTTCTGCGCTGAACGCTTCTCCTTCTTCCGTTTCTTTTTCTTTTCTTTCTCATCGCCGTCTTTCTTCTTTTTCTTGTCCTTGATTTTTTTATCTTTTTTCTTTTCGTCTGCCTTTTCTTCGTGATCTTTGTCACGTTTCTTTATTTTATCAGGAGACTGATCCTTTAGCTCACCACGCGATTTTGGTCGAAATGGACTTGAACTTTTTCGGGATCTTTTACGATCGATTGAATGACTATCATAACGCTCATGACGATCCTTCTCTGTTTGCTCATAATCTCGATCTCGATCTCTATCCCGATCCCGGTCACGTTCGCGGTCACGTTCTCTATCCCGATCACGATCCCTTTCCCTCCTTTCTCTCTCTCGTGCTCGTAGTGCCTTATCTTCCAATCTGTAGCGCTCTCTCTCATCTCGGTAGCTAATAAAAACAATCATAATGAATGTTTAAACGCAGAATTACATATAATTTTCAAATTTACATGGAAAGCTTATTAATTATAATTTCAAGCAAAGATTACTCTCAAGTTTTTCATATCATTCGCAACGACTCATCAATGTTTTTGTTTACTTTCAAGTTGCTTCCTCACATTAGTTTTACAAGACGAGTCAGTCTCAAACATCAGGAAACAAAGTTTTTTATTAATTATATTTTATTAAGCAGGTCAAATATAATATTTAATTTACAGAATTTTGCAATTAGCTTGATTTATGCAACTCTAATTAGGAAAAACCGTTTACACGTATCGGCAATTTATTAATTCACGATAAGGAATTAACAACGTGCATGCAGTAGTATAATAGATAACTATAATTTATTATGTTACAGCGACTACCTTTTCAAAGTAACCGTTTATTAAAATGTTTTGTTTATTTCAATGTGCGGAAGGTATAGGGATGAAAAATGACTTTTATCGGAATCTTAAGAGAACTGGGGATCTAAACGAAGATTGTAAATAGTATGGTTTTAACATAGATACTGTTATTTAGGATTTTTATAAGTAGAAACTCTACAATACTATTTGTATTTCCAAGCCTCCCGAAGAAAAATTAGAGAAATAAATGAATAAATGACTTGTAGTTCAAGATAATCCTTACCGATCCTTGTCATGATCTCTTTTTTCGACTGAACGCTCCTCGTCCCGTCGGTCTCGTGGTACATGCTTATCATCGCGTTCTTTATCTTTATCCTTCCGTTCCCGATCATCTTTCTCTCTGACCCTTTCTTCGCGATCTCTCAATAAGTTTCCTGCTCCGAGGCCTCTTTCACGATCGTCTCTCTCTCGGTCAGAACCTACACGCCGATCCCGATCATCTCTCTCCCTAATTCGCTCATCGCGATCGCGACATCTATAATTATTAATTAGAAAATATTAATGAATAAGTCTGTAAATGAAAAACAGTAAAATTATATTAATTAATTAACAATTTGAGACGAAGTGAAAGAAATGTCAACTTAAAAGAGAATGTTGTTAAGCAATATACTTTACGAAATACAAAATTATCAAATGCTCATTCCTAAGAAATGTATTAATAACATAAATAATGATGTACCTGTCATCTCTCGAAGGTAATCGATCTCGATCGTCAAGATCTGGATCTTTATTCAGTCCATGATCCCGATCTTCATGCTCCCTCAGAAGTCTCAATCTATCACGATCCTCTCGCATGGATCTTTCATGGTCAACACCGGGCGGCGGTACATCATAATATCCTTCGGTACCTGGTGGCGCGACATCATCGAATCGCTTGATTGGAATGTCGCGCAGAGGACTACAGAACCGTTGTGAAGATGGTCCAGGGTACCTGTCGACAAAAAGTTTCAGAAGCAATTACACGATGAGACAGCACCAATTTTTATTTGCTTGGACTTTATTAAAAAAAAAAATGAAATATAGGAGTTAAATTCGCGATTTGTTCAATCCTTATTTTCAGAAGAGAATCATCTTGTACTAATTCTCGACTTTTTCCTTGAGATCTTCGAGAATTCTAGGGGATTTGCCAATTGAGTGTACTGCCCAAAGTGCATTAAAAACTTTATATAAATGTTTACTGTTTATTATTCTGCACAAAAGTCAATTGTAGTTAACTACATGTCAAACAATCTTTTTAAAATAATAAATTCACTTTTTCATAAGATTAAATAGTTACTATATAATATTATAGATGTACGGAAACGTACTGTCAAAACACTCTGTAATTAACAAAATTGCGCACCCGCAAGTAATTTATATTCAGTGCAATAAGATGTTCCATTCAGAAAACGTGAAGCATAACGCTTTGGGTAAATTAAAACAGTCAATTAATAATGTTGACTTCTAAAATGGCGTTGTCCAGTCAAGTTCACTGAAACTCATTATTAATAATATGGATTTATTAAAATCAACATTTATAACTGTCACTTTTTTGGAATGCTTCAGATACCCAATATTGAAATAAATTTAATGAAAATATATAAATTCCGCATTTAACGCTTATTGCTTGCTTCGATCTCAGGTTTATTTGTCTTCAATAAATTCATCCGAGTCTCGACGTGAGATTCATTCCTCAACAAAATATAGAATTCTATTTTTGTCCATTGGTAGAAGTGTTAATAGCAATAGTAACGGTATCATTCCATTCGCTATGATAATTAATCAAATAAATTATCGTCGAGAATAAAACTTACACGTGACTCCTAAAGTCTGCCCATACCGAATAAATCCCAATCAATATTAGGGGATATTTCTGTTGCTCTGTGTTAGAAATGTTGATTTGGTCCTGAATTCACCTGAATCAGTAACCGTGTTGATTCGTGCATTGGGTCGCTTATGAAGTTGCAGAACCTTTTCGTCATCTTCCTGGCTATGCTCAGTGGATCCAAACATTTTGCGAGCTTCATTCTTCCTCACTCACTATTTGTCTTTTTTTTTCCTTGTTGTTGGTATAATACAGCATTTTTTATTATTATAATAACGTTGACATGGTGACAAAATACATTGTTGAGACGTAATTAAGTACGTGAAAATTAAAGAGAATCATTTCAATTCGTCTTAAATAAGATTTGACTAATAAAGTAATTTACCTATATATGATATTTCAAAAATTGTATGAACAGAACAATTGTTTGAGATGGTAAAAGTACATGTTCGTGAAACATCATAAAACCAAACAATGCGCTTTACTCTCTCACGTTTCACCTCTCTTAAATTTCAAACTTCTACTGACATTGGAATGCTGATGACATTTATTGAAATTATTCGTTATAAATATAAACTTTGCATTCTTTTATAAAAAATGATAATATGCACATGCTCAACATTTGTGCAAAAGAAAGCACAAATAATGAGGTGTGTCCAAAATTCAATACTAAGTAAGAGAACTACGAAGATCGTCGTAATTTCAATAAATGATCAACCAAATTTTATTGCGCCACTTAATTAATGACATTCTGCATTGTAAAATTATATGTTATATATGTATATATTATTTTATCCTATAAATGTACAATACGGCAGTATCAGTTCTATTGTTCGAAAATTACATCTTATATGCAACATGTTTAACCCTTTTGCGGTTGGTATCCCATACACACATACTCCGAAGAGATTTCTGAAATTCGGCATCTTTCAAATCGCGAAAAAGAAATAATCTTAAAAATGTTAATGTTAGTACAGAGATAGATTCATGTTCATATTACTTGATATTGAAATCTTATGAACTTCTCTTTATATGCTTCGATGAAAGAATTAAAATAAAAGATATCTATTTAAAAATAAAACTGTACGATACGAAGTAGATGATGTCACATATACATATAATTCGTATTCGTTATATAATACACGTGCAAAATAACATGAAAAGTAAATTTTTGATATAAGCATATAGAGTAACGTTCAATTGAAGTGGAACACTTGAATTTTTGTAGATTTCTGCGACACTATGACCGATTTCGAAAAACCAAAGACACATTTTTTAGGAAATTTCCTTCCCGTTCGAATGGTAAAGGTTTTATCCCGATCGGATACAAAATGGCAGAACGGCAGGGGTTGGAGTGAAATAGTGCATTTTGGGAATTTTTGAAAAGTGCGAGAACAAGTAGTTCCGGGAGGAAATTCATATTTCTAATTATGGCACGAGAAAAAGCATCCTTCGGCAGTCAAAAACACCCCCATTAACCCCTGTAACATCACTTTAAGGGAAGCTACACCCCCTTGAAGTGAAAACACCTAATTGGCCATAACTTCTGAACGCACCAGCCAATCTGGTCTAGTTTCTGCATGATATCATTGTTCTCACAAAATTATTGTTTTCGGAGATGATCCCGTGATGGAGACCTCGAGATATCGCAAGCGTACCCGAAGCGTCCCCGCAACTTTTCATATGAATGCGATGAAATAGAAGTTTCATATTTATTCCCTGTTGTAGCTGAGATTTCAATGATTAAAACGCGTTTTTAAATATTTAAAAATGAGTTTGCTAAGGGGTTAAATTTTTCATTTGAAAAGACGCTTAAATTTTGCGAATTTCGCTCGAGGTACTCGGGTCACTATTACCTTACCACGCGCGCCAAGCGGTTGTCACCCGAGTACCGCGGGCAAAAACTCGCAAAATTCAGGCGTTTTTTCAAAAGAAACATTTAACCCCTTAACAAACTCATTTTTGGATGTTTAAAAGCGCGTTTTAATCGTTGAAATCTCAACTACAACATGGAATAAATATGAAACTTCTATTTCATCGCATTCCTAATGAAAAATGGAGGGGAAGCTTCGAGTGCGCTTGCGATATCTCGAAATCTCCGTCACGGGATTGTCTCCGAAAACAATAATTTTGTGAGAATCTGCATTGTCGTTAAAGATGATATCACGCAAAAACTGAACCAGATGGGCCGGCGCGTCGGAAGTTATGGCCAATTAAGTGTTTTCACTTCAAGAGGGTGTAGCTCCCCCTAGAGTGATGCTACAGGGGTTCAATGGGGGTGTTTTTTGACTGCCGAAGGATGCTTTTTCTCGTGCCATAATTAGAAATATGAATTTCCTCCCGGAACTACTAGTTCTTGCACTTTTCAAAAAGTCCCAAAATGCACTATATAACTCCAATCCTTGCCTTTCGGCCATTTTGTATCCGATTTGGATAAAACCATTACCATTCGAACGGAAAAGAAATTTCCTAAAAAATGTGTCTTTGGTTTTTCGAAATCGGTTATAATTTCACAGAAATATACAAAAATTCAAGTGTTCCACTTCAATTGGACGTTACTGTATATCATTTATGGCCAATTCATTTATCTGTATTCTTCCTTTGTGGCTCCAGAAATCTGTTGGTTTTTTCGTCTTGAATAGTAGATATCTGATTAAATGAAGAGACAAGGAAAATATGAGCGATAAACATTTACGCTTATGCATACATACTTTTTGTTGTAAATTTATATGAGAATTTATTGTTTATTGTTAATTATAATGAAAACGCAAATGAGATTTCAAAATAAAATAATATTACTGATGTTTGACAATATTTTATGGAATGTTTGAATGACTACATTGTTTTTACTTAAAGCAATTATAAGGATTTAATAGGAAAATGACGAATCGAAAACACTATTTGAAGCTTTTATAAAGATTTGAGTAAGGCTTAAATTAAGTCTACAAATATCACTCAGAGTCAATACTACAACAAATGAAGTTTGATAAAGGCGGTTTAATGTTCGCTTTGGAGTCAAATTAACGAAGACAATCAGCGATTAGGCAACTGTTGCAATTATTTATATTTAACAATTCATATTTCATAATCAGCTATTCCGTTATTATGCATATTGACATCACGTAACAAACAAATCAAATAATCAAGTTATACCTAATTAATTATATAAGTAGGATCAATGATAGTAGATGTTTACTATACTCATGGTATAATAAACATATCTAATACATAAATTCTCTTTGTTTTCCTAATCGTCTAACATAAATTACTTCTTTTCCGCTAATTGTTTTAAAGTACATGAAAACCTCTTTGCATCTATATATGAATATCTCACACATTGGATTACTTTTAAATAGTGTATTCTTAGCTTATTCATAGAAGTATTTTTACCACGTTTCGTGCTGGATCTTTTGTTTGTTACTTTCCGATCAGGCAGCGTGGGCCGTATACGCGGCAGGAACGTGGTGTTAACAAAGGTAGTAAATTTCCCTAGCAATAATACTGTTTCATAAATATGATCACAATAGTACATTGTGTACCAAGAAAGTAAAATGGCACTTGACCTTAAAAGGCCTACCTTCGAGGTGCACATGGTACTTTATATAACACATCATGTTTTTCGAGCTTCTATATTGGGAAGCTGTTATATACGCGGAAACTGTGTTTGCTATTGGAGCGCTGGGGGTGCAACCCCCCTGGCAGGGTCAAGCGGCAGAGCCCGTTGCGGGGGTTGGGGGCAGAGCCCCCAGGCACACTAAACGTAGTTTTTAAATGATTATTAACATAAATTACGAGATTCTAATTATTTATTTATTTATATCCTTTTTTTAACAAACAATACTATATCGACGCTTTTATTTGGATCTCATGCAATTTCACTTGAAAGTGAGGTTTACGATTCTTTTCGTCGGTGACGAGAAAAAAAAAGCAACTTTCACTTTTAAGCTCTAGAAGTCCGATGAGGGATTAAAAGTACTACTTTACTCCCTGTTTAGATGCACCGAAAAGTGAGGAAAATATGGTAGCGTTATATAAAATTATTCATATGTGCGGTTAGAGTTTAACCATATTTGTAAGCTATCGTTGAAATTTCTTTAAGTATATTTACAAAGTTTTGCGGAGCAGAG